CGACTACGATAGTAAATATCTACTCTGATAAATTAGCAGCAATCAGAGCGCTTGGTCGGAGAATGCCTGACCTCGCTCTCCAATGCTTTAGAATATTTCCAAATCAAGTTGATTTGGGTTGCAGGACACAGTGACTTAATTGGAAATTTGTGGGCTGATGAATTGGCTAGGCAGGTCACCCGCGGGGCCATCACCTCGTACAGGGAGAGCATAGGAGTTTCGTTGGCAACCTGTGGCCTACTCTTAGATAGATGGGCTCCCCTACATGCAAAGTTGCAAGGCGGTCAAGTGAGCTTCTGCAGCTGGCTAAGCAAAAGCTCTCTATTCATACAGGTGTACATTGTCCTTTAGGAACCCACGCAGTGCGACTTAATTTCGTTACGGGTCTCTATTGCAACAGCTGTTTAGAAGACGAGGTGAGATCATCTCATCACTTTCTTCTCAGCTGCCCGGTATTCGTTAAACTAAGAATTAAGTACCTCGGTGCGCATTGAATCAACACCCGAAAGGCTCTCCGGCGTTCGGATCTTTGCTTTGAGCATCCAGCGCCTCTTTTAGAGAACCTGTAATTACGGTAGTTCTTAGTTGGGTTTTAAACACCAATGACGACATTAGCAGAGCGGGAGTTGATGTTCAGGCGACAGCAGAAGGCACCCTGCAGCTGTCCGAAGTTATGTACTGGGGAAAGTTTGAAGCTTCAATCACTGCGTCCCACTAGTTCCCGGTGACCGAACTGCCGCCGTATATTTTAGAATCAGTCGACGAGAAATCTGAGGACGAACTTAATTGCGGTTCTGTATATTAGACAGCAGACTATAAAAATTAAACAACGGAGGAAACTGGACTGTTCTATTACCAGAACGATTGCGGTTTGGCTACGAGTGGATGCTTATGTGGTTAAGTGCGTTGGTGGTGCTGTGCAATTTTCGGGAGGCCATGTTGATGCTTCGATTGGGTCAGATGCTATGTAAACTGCCGGAATTTCAAGGCGCAAGTGTCTTCACTACGAGGGAGTAGACTGTTGTCGGACGATAAGAACCCTCTCGGTTTTTTGGTAGGCTTCCGCGCGGGCTTAAGCAGTGGGACCACTTAGCTCGATTTCCACAAATCGTAAATGCTGAGAATGGCCATTGATTGACCTTGCTAAGGTAGTCTGTTCTCACTCGTCTCATGTTTCTCAGCATCAGCATGCACATTTCTTTGTGGCTTTTGCCCTATCGATGGCTAACTGTGGTTTGCCGCTGGCGAAAACTCTTGGTTTTGACAGTTTAAATTTCACCTCTTTCATCGCGCTTCGTAAGGTTGAATAGCGACCATGCGGTCGACAATAACTTGCGCACATCAGGGAGAGAAATTCCAGGTCTTACAATGTTTTCCCACTTCTTCCGCTTATGCAGGTTTACTAGTTGTCGAATCTCCAAATTGGGATCTTTGGGTGTGGGTAGGTGGTCAGTAACGTTCGCTAGTGCATATTAATGTGAGACGTTTAGTGCGACCCAACAAACTATTGCGGCTTCTGCTCTTCAAACGACTCTGTTAACCCTAAGGTGCATAAAAAGTTCAGATAAGCTAAGGGAGTACGGAATGAATGTCCTAGGTCTAGATTTTTTTCCCATCTGCTCGGAAAAGCAACGCACTTGATTAGAAGATGTCAATTTACCTATTTCCTTCTCCTCAATTCTCCTATGGTCTGGTACCCATATTAGCTTGTTTTATTTTAATTTAAAAGAGTTAGGTTTCTCAATGTCTAGAGACCTAGACCTTTTAGAGCTTTTGAGTCAACTGTTTACCAACGCACGATGGAACAATTTTTGGCTGTTTCGCTACACAATCCTTCTCTGGGATGTATTGCTATCGGAACCTAAGGCAGGGGAGGGAAAAACTTCGCCGGATATAATGTTCAAAAGGTAATTGACCTAGATTAACGCGGGTCCGGTAAATGGTATTCACATGGCGATCGTATGGTCCAGTAGTTGTTGGATGTGGTTCGAAATATTGTACGTGCTTTCTGGGAATATGATTCCTAGCGTGCTTTACAGGTCCCTAAAGTAGCTATATGGAGTTGCACCCGATCAAAAATTTTTCGATCAGCATCGAATTTTGTTCCCTTACCGGAAGCACGCACCCTTTAAATAAGGCTCTGGTTTCGTCAGGAGGCATACGGTGGCTGTGATAATGTCTGAAACTTCGTCCACCATGTGTACTAGTCGCTTCTAATCTAGTTGGAGCAGCATATTTGCCTTGTAACCCCTTATCTATGTATTTAAGAACGGTTGGTGTATTTCGTAAAGGGTAGGCTATGCCTTGTTGTTGTTAATAGGCGAGCTATTTCGAAAGCATTCCATTTAAGTTTAAGTAAAAATGTCACCTAATTGGTTGCAAGAGTTTCGGGACATAAAAATTAATATGTAGTTGAAAGGAGATACCATCCTAAGAGGCCTCCTATTCAATTTCTCTCGGTCTCGATGAATTAGCAAACCTCTTTCAACCAATCGCATAGATTGCCGTCTATCATTTGAGTCACTGAGGCATGTGGAGGAAATTTAAGAAACCTGCTGTGAGAATTTTTCGTTCTTTGAAAAGAGAAATGAAAATATAACGAGGATGTCAATGGCTTGGCTCGACTGCTGAACATTTACGAAACGCTTTGTATGTGACCGTAGCGTGGCAATGACCCTCGTCACTTATTGCATGCAACAGTTTCATGAACTCTCAAAAGAACACTAAATTAGTGAGAATAATCTTTTATCTTCTTTGACACTTTCTAATTGCTTCCCATAATTTATGGTACATTTATGTGTGTGTGTAAGTTTGTAGGCAATGTTTGTGAGGTTAGTGAACTACTCCACTACATTATACTGTGTCCGATGCGTGTGGTTGCATGCCTCATTGACTCACTCAAAGGGAGCAATTGTTCACAAATGGTGCATGCACTGTAATGCACACATACATACATATACATATGTATACCCATCACATGCATGCGAAACTATTTATGTTTATTCAATGCAATGTGCATATGTAAATATTTGCACTGCGTAAGCTTGAGTTTCTTGCCATTTTTCGCATGTCTGTTGCTTGATTCACATTTCTGACCGCCCGTCCGCCCGCCCGCTCGCTTGTTTACTTGCGAATGCTCTCCGTGTCTTCTGGCTGTTAGTTTATTTATCATTGTATAGTTTGCTTTTGTTTTACGCAAATGAAGCATAAAGCCGCCGCGGTCGAAGTCAAATTAGCTTTATTAGCAGCCGGCGTGGTTTTTCTTTTTGTTGTTTTTATGTTTGGTGGTATGGTTTGCTCTTGTTTTCGTTCGGTGAAGACAAAAGTGTGATTCATTCATTAATGTGGAAATTTGAGTTGATTATCTGCTTTGCGCTGCTATTCTCTGTAGAAATTGACCTTACTAATAAAATGAAAGTTTTTTTTTTTAATGTTATATTTTTTAGATATTTTGTTTATACTTAAATGGTGCGTGAAAATATTTCAATTTTAAATTAAAAAAATATTTAAAAAGTTAACTTCTTCTAGTCTTCACACATATTATTTTTAGTGGTGCAACATTCTTCAAAAATTATTTCTAAACTGCTTTCAAACTAATTTACTGTAAAGGCAAAATATTGCATGCTTAATAATAGTATAGAGATCAAATTCAAAATTTACTTTTTTGGAGATTTCAACATACAATTAATCACCTTGATAAGGAGAATATGCTCAGCTTAACAGACGACTAAACTTCCCAAAAATGGCGAAGATATGTGTCTTTCCATCCGTCTTTTGGTATACCAATTTTATGAACCGATTAAACTTGGATTGCGTTTTACCACAAAATTTCAATTTTTAAATAATTCTGTATATCGATGGTCCTCTGCCATAACGACACAATTCACATATCACACAATAAAAACTCTTACTACTGTTAAGTGGCTCATGTCTCTAATCCTTATATAATCGGTGTCTAATCTCGACTACTTACTGAAGTAATCCTTACTAGCTGAAGCTTTAGTACTAGCTTTAGTATGGATTAGACATGCATTAGAGATATAAGCCACGTAACAGTAGTAAGGGAATTTTGTTGAATTTTATTGCAGAGGACCATCGATATTATTAAACGTGCGATATATTCCGATTGGAAATATGTATTCACTTACATAGAAATGTACTTTTGTAATGTAGCTTTCCTGAACTTCTTCCATTCTGCATCCTTATTGCAATATGTATTTTATTTACTCTATAGATTAAATTAAACTTGACTTTTAAACAGGTGGCAACACCTTTAAATATATTTTTGAAATAAAGATTTCT